AATACCGACGACCAGAAACGGTTTTGAAAACTTTTGTCACGTAGTGATCGTCTTCTCAATAGAACATCTTTGATAATGTCTTCTGGCCAATCAGAATCAAGATAACGGCGTGGTGTTGTTGCAGGACGTCCAGACGGAGAATACTTTTGTGATTAATCTGATTAAACATTTTAATCGTTTGACAGCCCTAATCATGACTAATTCATTTTTAAACTGTGATTAATCTGATTAAAAATGTTAATCGTTTGACAGCCCTACTAAATAGATAACTTACCTGAAGGAGTCTGCTTGATATGAAGGAGCTCTGTGTCAACGAGTGAGCAAGAAGTGAACTGAGAGAAAGAGCTGCAAATGAAAGTGAGTGGACTTTAGGTGGGTGGGTTAATAATTCCTCCACCATCCGAAACAAAGCATTTGTTTTTAGAGTATAGCAAGTGAATACATTGGGACAGTAGACCATGCCTTTTAAAGCTCCCTGTTTAACAGAAATCAAAAGTGAAAATAAAAGCTAAATGATATGTTTTCTTATCTTCTAAAAGGGAGAATGTACGTGTTGGATTGTAAACTTGCAGCAGGTCACCCTTGAAAAAGAGATCAATGATCTCAATGGGATTCACCTGCACAAATAAAGGTTTGAAATTAAATTAAATTAAATTAAACTCCACAGAGACACACAGATGGACAAAACATGTCATGTAAAACAAATTCAACTTTTTATATATTTAAAAAGAAAGCCACCCAAGATGGTCATGACTTTCAGAAAGTGAAGTATGACTAAACCCTTTCTGGCAATAATACAAACAGCAATGATTTTAATGTATTGAATATGTTTTTAAATGAATATTTCTTCATAATAATCTTTATAATGTTGGAAAAGTGTAATTTTCTGAGTGTATTTTTGTACATTTTAGGGCTCTGTACTTTAAAAAACGCCTGCTTATCTGATCAATTTTACATTTGGTCAGTACCTTCTTAAGACCCTGAGGATCAATAGTTTTCTGACTGCCCTCCAGTGTTCACACCTGTGGAGCACATTTAGATAAGATTAGATTTACTTTATTGATCCCAATTTAGGACTTTTCAGAAATAGGCCATTCTACATGATAAGTACTTTTAATCGAGGTTGCGGTCCAAATATCATACTTTTCCCTAACTTTTAGTACATACAGAAGCTGCACTTACAAAGTACATACTGTTGCATGCAATATGCATACCATTTTCAATATGGCCCCTTATTTTTACCAATTTTTTTTTATATATGTGCTGCGTAAAGGATTGTGAGTAAGAATAGAAGGGAAAGCATTAGGTGCTAGAATACTGCAAAATGCGACTGGATGCATCCTGATAGATTTGGTTCACTCATTCGACATACTTAATCTTTATTCTGGCATAATAAATGCAAGTATGGGTGTTGGGACGCAGGGTAAGGATAAGGTTAATGCTAATAACTTTATGGATGGAACACGACACCAAACAGCACAACCACAGTGACACACACAACCAGAGGCAGGACGTAACCTGGGCCAGAGAGACGGGTTATTTCAGATTAAATAAGAAGTTTACATTTTATTATACTGCGGTTAACTTAACTTAACAAATAATGCAAATTAGTGTAGTGTTTTTTCCCACAACATCTCAGCAATCTTGGCATCGCAGCAATTGAGGCATTAATTGAAATGTTTTATATATTCATGTTTCCAAAAGGATGAATCCTCACTGACTTTCCTCTAGCGCCAACATGAGGTTCACATTTATGTTTTTTTTAATCATGTTATGGATGAAATGAACCCAATAGCACCATCACCAGGTCCAAAGATGGAATAACAAATTAAAAAAGGGGAAACTATGTATATATTTCTTAAAGTTTTGATCAAGGAGGAGCTGGATATTTGCTCACCAGAAACGGATGGTTTGAACTGAAGGTAAGACTACACACTCTGCTACTCCGTGTGTAAGGCTGGTTTGATGAAAATGTTTTTTATACTTTTTTATTATCAATATGTTTTGTTAGTTTCTTTTGTTAAGTCAGTTTTAAAGATTTCCTATAAATCAACTTTTAATATAGGTCGAAATAGATGGAGGAAAGTAACTTAGAACATTTACTTAAGTAGCCTACTTTACATTTCCACAGCACACATTTCCTCATATAATCTAAAATAGATTTAAGGGAAGAATGGAAACCCCGGCCGTTACAAAGATGTGAACTTTTTACGGACATTTTGAATCCAGACTTTTCATTTAAATACTTTTCTGCTGTGTTTCTTTACATTTCAGGTGAATCTTATCACTTAATTCGCAACAATGTACTGTTTAAGATATAAAGAACAGCGTTTTCTTGGTGTCATTAGTATTATTACTTCATTGTTTTTTTTCTTGTTTACACCTTTGACATCCTATTGAATCCAGAAAGGAGCCAACAGGTACAGTTCACGGTCTTTGTCTTATTTTAATTGAGCTAAAACAGAATTAATGTTGGACCTTTTATTTATAATGTGGACTAGACAAGACTTCATGTAAATGTTACTGTGACTCTGTCAGGGCTGGATGTGTAATATATCAGCTGTTTGCTACCAACTTCTCCTTCAATGTGATGTAATGTCAGTGTTGTTTACAAGCTGTTTCTGCTGCCACCAAGCGGCCGAAAGAAGGTATTGCCACAGAAATAGCCTGTTTGTTTGTACACTATAGCGTCATGTTGTTTGCATTGTATTTGTTGTTGTTGTTCCCATCTCCGACCACTCTACTGGAAATAAACAATGTGCCTACAGGTACAGTTTATAAAAAATGCAAGTTATAATGAAAACACGTCAGTTTCAGCGCTAGACACAAGAAGAAGCTACATTTTCATGATGCATTTCGTGACAGGAGGGTTTTACGTTTGCATGAAGCAAGATTTTTTGCATTTTCACACTTGTCTTTGTTTAACAAGAAAGTGTTAATCAGATCATATTAAATTATATCGATTTTCATCCAGTCTCTTTTCTGTCCCTCTCCCCTCTAAGGTTTTTCCAAAGGGTTTTGGTTGCGTGTGGACCTGGTGGTTTTATTGCCACTCCACAAAAAGAGGACCAATCATCCTGATGGTGAGTAATCTATAACACTTTTAATAGTAACTCATTCAAGACAGAGAGAAATACTTGAGGCGTTACACTGAGAGCACCAACACTGAGGGGATTTCTACTTTCCCTTCTTCTCTGTTTGCGGTCACTGTTTGCTTTTAATAGGCTGCTTTTGAACTGTGAAAAATAAAGGAAACAAAAGAGATAAAGTGTGACTTCAATGCAGTTTCAAATCATGTCCACTCTCTTCACTACCAGAAATCCCTTTTACAATTACAGTGTTTTTGACATATTTATTAAAAAACATGTGGATTATATGTACCGTACAAAAGACTACGCACTCTGTTACTCTGTGTTTAAGGCTGGTTTGATGAAAATGGTTTTTATACCGTTTTATTATCAATATGTTGTGTCAGTTTCTTTTTTTAGGCAGTTTTAAAGATTTCCTGTAAATTAACTTTTAGGTCGAAATAGATGGAGGAAAGTAAATTAGAACATTTACTTAAGTACTTTACATTTCCACAGCACACATTGAATAATAACTCATTCAAGATAGAGAGAAATACTTGAGGCGTTACACTGAGAGCACCAAGACTGAGAGGATTTCTATTTTCACTTCCTCTCTGTTTGCGGTCACTGTTTGCTTTTAATAGGCTGCCTATGAACTGTGAACAATAAAGGAAACAAAATAGATAAAGTGTGACCTCAATGCAGTTTCAAATCATGTTCACTCTCTTCACTACCAGAAACCCCTTTTACAATTACACAGTGTTTTTGACATGGTTATTAAAAACATGTGGATTATAGCATATATGTACTGGACAAAAAAAAAGCTGCACTGATCAATATTCCTACATCATCAATGGCTCTCTTTTAAAGTGAAACATATCACTCAGACCGACTAACACATAGAGATCTATTGCTCTATTGTTTTGACAACTTTCAGGTCATTTAATTTGTCCACAGTCCTGGTTTGATCACAGAGAGCCTAACTGGTGGACTTAGTGGAGCATTCACCGCCAATAAACCACTTTTTCTGAGTTGTTTGAGATCAAAAAGGAGCTTAAATTTGGACATTAATTATTATAAATTAATGTATGTCTGTGTCTGCTTGAGCATAGATGTTTATAGACTAAAAGTGATAATGCTTTAGTGTTGAGATTTTGGCATTTTGTACCCAAAACAACAAAAACAAACTAAATGTATAATATCCTTATTCAGCTCAAAATCTTCAGAATTCGCTCCTTCATTAAAACAACAGCTTTGGTCAGCTGAGGTTCACAGAAGTAGTGGACATTTTCACAGAGAAAATACCTTTCAAAATGTCTACAGAAACCTCTCAAACCACATTGACACACTCCACTTCTCTGTGTGTACTCTCATATGTTCCAAACATTCATATTTTCACCACGACACAATAACATAGCTTCCTCTTATGGATTATCATTTTACATGTTGACAACCTCTGCTTTCATATCCCACAAATAGATCTAAAAAAAGGCCTCAACTGTGTTTCCGGTACAGTATGTCGTCAATTTGCTGTTAGTCTAGGCCTATATTTTTTTTTTTTCATGTCCAAACCTCAAGTAAGAAGGACCAATTCTACTGAACTCTCACTCAGACAAAAAAAAAAAATATTATGTCTACATAATATAAGATAGAGGTTTCCAGTGAATGCACACAAAAGCATGTCTGTTGATTATATCTGTGCATGATATCATTACCGACTTCTTACATCAGTTAAAAGAGGAATTTGATTGCACTTTAAAGATAAACGTGACATGTTTGCCACTTCATGTTACAAACAAACACAGTTCAAATGTAAATCTTCTCTAAATGTTCGAGTAAATGACTTGCAGTTAATAAACTAAAATAAGAAGGGAGGAGAGTTCAGGGTGTGTCGTGTGTTGGGAGGACGGACTCCATCATTTAGAGAAGTGAACAGTTCCTGCTTTGGCAGCGAAGACGGAAGAAAGCAGCTTTAAATCATCAGAGCCTCAAACATGAACGCCCGTCACTCTCTGATCTGCTTCTTCTTCCTCAGTGAGTACGATCACTTACTGTTCCTGTAAATGTCTCTTTTTAACAACTTATTTTTCTTTCTTATCTTTTTTTTTAACTAACAGTCCGTTAAACGTTATAGTGGACGGTAAACGGCTTCTCTGTTTCCTCACATCTCGTATCAGTTTAACATGTCGTTGGTTTCTGTGGTTAGAGGACGATAGGGGTTAGAGTCACTCAGTGGTGAAAGAACTACTTGTACTATCAGTAAAAGAAGAAATACTTGGTAACATTCAAACATTAAAACCCCATTTCAGAGTGTATAGATGTTTTACTAATACTGTATATTTTCTACTTTTTAATGCTGTTTTAATTATTTTGAGATGTTTAAATTCAAGAATTGTTTATTTCTACTCTGTCATTTCTACTTATGTGCAATGCCTTTTTTGTTTTGATGCTGCTGCAACGCAACAATTTCCCAATTTAGGATCAATAAAGTAACTCTTATCTTATTCACATTTTTACAAAGTACAAAAGTATTATGATCCAAATGTACCTGATTTAGTCAAAGTTGGCTTCTTGTTATGCCGAATGTCACATTTCAGAATAGTGTGGGTTCATCACTTTAATGTTTTATCTGGTAAAAGTGGAGCTCATTTAAAAATCTCACCAAGGGATCAATAAAGTTTTATCCGTTTTTATTAAACTAATAATAATGTATTTGTTGATCATATTTTGTGTTTCTTATTTGAGTCTGCAAAGTATCTTAAGTTATCAAATATAGTATAATTAAAGTAAAAGTAGCAGAAAATGAAAATACTCAAGTAATGTACCGGTAGCTCAATATTGCACTTCAGTACACAACTTGAGTACACGTATTTACCGCTGGAATTACTTAAATATGTATTTCATTGAGATTACTATTGACCTTTCTCAATCAGAAATGACCCTATTATCTGAGAGATACGATTGTTTCTTTTATTTTCTTCCCATAAATATTAGTTTATTGTATTTTCTGCTGCATTGTTTTCCAAATAAAAATGCATTCCAGTACCTTTTAAAGGATTTCGGAAGTAACAGATACATTCATTGGTTGATTCAAGACCCAGGTCCTGTTTACCCTGTTGTTATTGATCCGTTTTCTGAACATGATCCCTGACATATTGTTTATGTTTTGGGATTGCACCTAATCATAATGTCAGATTTGTGTATCTCTTTGTATTTGCACTCTTTACACTATGGATTGAAACTACTGCAGAGCAATTTGCCTCGGGATGATAACCTTTATCTTATATATTCATATTTCTGTTAATATTACAGACTGGTTGAGCTGGGCAGCTCCCAGTGTGACTCTGTGGCTCTGTGAAGGATTTATGTAACTGTCAAATCACACTACAGTGTATTACAGGAATCAGTCAATCAAAGTTGATTTGTATTTGCCCAATATCACACATTTGTCTCGGGGGCTTTACAGTTTGTTCAGAAATATAGAAACTATTGATTGCTCATCTCTCCAACAGCACTGAGGGATGGAAACATTGGGCTCACCAACGCACAAAACCCCCTCCGTACAGAAACTGAAGGAGAAAACATCACAGTTGCATGCTCTTTTACTTTAACTGGAAGAAGGAAGATCTTCTGTAAGGGAAAATGTGAAGAAGGAAACATTCTAGTAGAAACGACTGGAGACTCAGCTCAGAGAGGCAGATACAGCATCAGATATGTGGAAGGATCTCTATTATCTAATGTAGCTCTGTATGTGAGCATCACAAAGCTGACCAAGTCTGACGCAGGACAGTACCAATGTGGTCTGGACAGATCTGTCTTCGACTCATATCAGGACTTTGAGATCAGAGTTACAGATGGTGAGTTTTAACCGGGAGTTTTAGATTTATCTGTTCACTGACACCTGCTGATGTTTCAAATAACCCAATATGTTTAGTGTTATTTAGAGCTGTATATTTTAAAAGCTCCTATTGTAAAAAAATGTGTTAATGTGCTACACATCCGAAAACCACTACAAACATTACAGCTAATTTAAATATTGTTTCACAAAACATAAATTACCGTCTTAATTTAACGGAATAATTTGATTTATTTATTTAGCATTTCCCTTTGTTTCACAGCTCCAGCCACTTCAAAACCAGAAGTGAGTCTCCAACCGTTTTCAACATCAGCCCCATCAGCCTCCACACTGACCACCACTCAGAGTCTGAGCTCCGTACCTTCCTCAGCTTCCCCTGAACGCACTACGCAGCCTCAACAGGGACAGACAGCTCCAGCTGGTCACGGTACTTTTAGTTTGTTGTTTGTGTTTATGGACCAGGAAGTATCAGAGTAAACAAAGTGTTCTTCTGCTCTCAGGTGTGGTGCTGTATGTGCGTCTGACTCTGGTCGTCATGGTCATCGTACTCTCAGCGTCTGTGCTGATATTCTGCTGGAAGAGGGCCAGGAAACCCAGAGGTGAGTTTACAGGAAACAAACACATAACAAAAGCAATCGTTTTGACCTAATCTTCTGAATGTGATGTCTTTTAGAAACTGCTGATGAAGCTGAGTATGTCAATGTCACAGAGGTGAGTTTGAGTTCATCTCAGCATTTGTAATGTTTGTGCAAACAGCTGATATTAATACAAATCTGTCCTCACTTCCTGCAGGCTGACAGAGAGTGTGAGGAGGTCAGAGAGGAGGAAAGAGGGAGCAGATCTCCTCCTATAGAAATGTCTGTCCTCTCCACTTCCCACTGCAGACACTTCTCAGAAGACAGTAAGTAACACTGAGATATGACTGAAGCTTTGAGTTCAG